AAACTTCAATTTCTTGATCATCACAATTGAGCAATACAGCCTCCAAAGTATCATCAACATTCATCACGACGCTTGTTTCATCAATAATCACATCGCCAAATCCACAAACGAACAAACTTCATTGCTATTCGGTTTCCTCATAGATTACCACATATGGAAAACCACATTTTCATCACCTACCCGAAAACTGAGCTCACTGCCTTCCACATCAACAAGAGCCTTTCCCGTAGCAAAGGAAGGTCGACCCAAAATAATCGGCACCTCATAGTCCACTTCACAATCAAGAATCACAAAGTCCACAGGGAGGATGAATTTATCAACACGGACCAACACATCATTAATAATACCCAACAGTATCTTCATGGTACGATCCGCCATTTGCAACCTCATAGATGTGGGTCTTGATTGCCCAATCCCCAAAGTTCTGAAAACCAAGTAGGGCATCAAATTGATACTTGCCCCAAGATCACATAAAGCTTTAGCAAAGTTGCCACTACCAATGGTACAAATGGATTGTGAAAGTGCTGGGATCTTCCTATTTTGGAGCCACTGAGTGCACATTTGCACTCACTTGATGAGTCATCTTTAGAGTTTTACAATTCATCGATCTCTTGTTTGTCACCAAGTCCTTCATGAACTTTGCATAACTTGATATTTTCTCCAAAGCATCGACCAATGGCACGTTGATGGATAGACTCTTCATCATGTTAATGAACTTTTTGAATTGGTTCTCGCCATTTTTCTTGGCAATCCTTTGAGGGTATGGAGGAGGAGGCCTTCACATTGGTGCCTTAGCCTTTGGCACTACCGGTTCTAGTATGTCAACAATGTGCTTCCTAGGCGGGTTCACTTCCTCGTGAGACTCCTCCATGTTGCCATCAATATCAATTCTCACCTAATTTGCTTGCACTTCATTTTCCGGGATCTCATCTTGTTGTACCATTTCCTCATCATCCACAAGTTTCTTATGACTTGGGGTTGTTGCATCCCCTTCTTTTCCACTCCTTGTAGTAACGGCCATGGCATGTCCCGTGTTGCTCCCACCTTTTGGTTTCACCACCGTATCACTTGGTAGTGCCCCCTTAGGACAAGTGTTCAAAGCTTGCGAGATTTGCCCCAATTGAACATCCAAATTGCGAATTAAAGTGTTGTGAGAGGCTCGTTAAGCATCGGAGTCGGCATTCTTCTCCGTCATTTTTTTAAACATGTTCTCAAATTGTCCCATCTCATTGTTGGAAGAACTTGGATCTCGGGAAGGATAAGGAGGTGGGTTGCTCGATTGTTGATACATCGGGGGCCTCTAAAAACCCAACCCCGATTGTTGTTGTTGTTGTTCTGCCCTCCTTGGTTGTTGCCTCCCCAATATCCTTGATTATTGCCACTCCAATTGCCTTGGTTATTATGACCATTCCAATTTACTTGATTGTTTTGATTGTTCCAATTCCCTTGGTTGTTACCACCATTCCAATTACCTTGGTTGTTTGAATTCCAATTCCCTTGATTTCCTTGAGGTCGCCATTAATGTTGTTGCGTCGGGCCTTGATTGTTGTTTCTTTGCCCTTGGAAGTTGTTCACGTACTGTGCTTCCTCCTCTTGTTCATTATAAGACTCATCTTAATCAAATCCACTATCATCTCGCACATAATTTTCAACACAGTTTTGCATTTGAGGACCTTTTTGCCTTCTCTTGTTTACCATCGTAATAACTCCCTCCATTGTATTAACTTGCTTAGGACCTTGCACTTGTTGATGTTGAGCTTTGGCTATTTGATTCATTGTGGTGGTCAACTTGGCAATTGCTCGCCCATGATCATGTAGTTCTTTATGCAAGTGAATCATATTTGGATCACTTAGAGGAATGTTTACTCTACGTTGCCATGCCGATGAATTATCTACCATTTCATCTAGAATCTCACAAGCTTCCGCATACAGTGTTGGCGTGAAATTTTCACCAGCAAGTTGGTTGACCACGCGTTGATTTGCAGTATTGATCTCCCTATAGAAATTTTCTTGAATCATAGCCTCTGTCATGTCATTGTTCGGGCACTCTTTCACCTTAGTATGGTACCTCTCCCATATCTCATGCAAAGGCTCATTGGGTTCTTGTTTGAAAGCTATAATATCATCCCTAAGAGTTGCCATATGCCCGGGAGAAAAGAACTTGGAAATAAATTTCTCGGCCAATTCATCCCATGTATGGATAGAATGATTTTGAAACTTCTCTAACCAATTCATGGCTTTCCTCCGTAGAGAGAAAGGAAATAACCTCAACCGTAAAGCATTCTCGGAGACGTTTGTCTGTTTACTCCCCCAACAAGTGTCCACAAACCCTTTCAAGTGCTTGTACGCATTTTGATTCGGAGCCCAGGTGAAGAATCCTTGTTGTTCCATCCATGTAAGCATAACATTTGTGATTTGAAAGTTGCCCGCCCTAATGCGGGGCGGGACTATGGCACTTGCGTATCCTTCATTCGGAAACACCCGGTGTGGAGCCACTCTTTGTGGAGGTGGGTGTGGAATGGGAACATTGTCTTAAGGCGGTCGGCCTCGTCATTTGCTTGAGGTTCAAGCTGAACCTCTTCAACTTGATCATCTTCCATGTCCACATCCCCCATAGGCATTGTTCACCTACAATTGTTTCACAAAAAGATTAGTAACTCGGAAGGAAAAGAAGTCAATTCACACACAAAACCAAATATATAGCTAAATCCATTTTTAGCTCCCCAGCAACGACGCCAAAAAATTGATCTCGTCCAAGTCACACCCTCTATTTGAGGTAGTGAAATGATTGTTCAATAGTAATACCCAACAGAGTCGAGGTCAAATTCCATAGGGAGCTATGAGATTGGGATTTAGGAGAATATATTACGGTATATGAGTTTGAACTATCTTTGATTACACTTCCAAAAATTTGTTTGGTTCTATGGCTAATGTGAACTATGATTGCAAATACATAATTGAAACTAAGAAAATGTGTTTTTGTTGTTGTTTTCAAATATTTGTAAAAGGATTAAGGCTGTGAATGGGGTGTATTATAGCTCACAACACTGCGTTGCCCGCTCAATACCTCTCGGTCAGAGAATGGTTTTGCCAAATTTGACTTTCTCAAGACCAAATAGGTATCACCGAAACGGTTGATAAGAGCTCAAGTCGGGTTGTTACTATCTCAATCGACCCAATTCCTTGTTAGCTAGGTTGACCTAGACTAGGTCTCTCTTTCTCAAGAAGAGACTAAGTAAAAAAGGCATAAATCAATGTTTGCAACCATTAATTCACAAATAAAGCATAAAACTAGCTAAATAACAAACACTCATTCATAAACAAACATAAAATCAATCACCCATAAGGTTTACACATTAGGGTTGGGTCACAACCCTAGCTAAAAATCTAGCTACTCATAATGGGTAACGAAGAAAATAGAGAAGAAAAGATAATTAAGCTCATATTAAAATATTAAAAGACAAAAATCTATTGTTTAATCACTAAAGTAAGCTAAAGTTGCCTAAAGCATTAAAGAAAACGACTACAGAAGTTCGGATATTCAAAACTTGACCTCATTCCGTGAAAGAAGTCTATTTATACAAAGCTAGAATTTTCGAACAAAAATGCCCTTTCGGAGGTTCCGGTGCCGCACAATTCCATATGCGGTCTGCACTTCCCTTGAATCTTGACAGGAGTTGGAATCTGCGGCCATTCAATTCTGTATTGCAACCGCATATCACTTGTTCTGCGGTCCGCACAAAACTGAGTGTAGCCACATAGGGTCCTTCTGCGGACCGCACAAATCTGAGTGCAGCCGCATAGCTGACTTATGTGGTCGCACAATAATTGTGCGGTCCGCATCTTGCGATGATACTTCTTTGAACTTGATCTTTTTGGTGGATTATGCGGCTGCACAATAATTGTGTGGTCCGCATATTACACTAGGCCTCTGACAAACTTTAATTTACCTTTTGCGGCCGCAGAGAGAATTCTGCGGTCCGCACATTATGCTTTTTGTTTGCTTTTGGTTCTTGAGTTCAGTTTACTCCTCTTTGAGTTGGATTTCATCTTTGTGACTCATCTTCCACTACTCCTGCATTTAAGCACAATTCATCAATTTTTGGGAATACAATTAAGCACTTTTGGACTAAAATGAAAGTAAAAAGGCGCTAATAAGTAGTCAAAATCCTAACTTATCAGGTTCTATATGTTTCAAGTGGGTGTTTAAAGTCAAATACAAGTCATCTGGTGAAGTGGAGAGGTATAAGGCCAGGCTGGTGGCTTAGGGTTACAATCGACAAGAAGGATTGGACTATACAGAAACTTTCTCACCTGTAGCTAAAATGGTTACTGCGAGGGTTGTGGTTGCATTAGCTGCTACTTCAGTATGGTATATGTTCCAAAGGGATGTTCACAATGCTTTTCTTCAAGAAGATCTTCTTGAAGAAGTGTATATGCATGTTCCTGATGGCTTTTCAAGCCAGGGGGAGTGTCAGCATGTCTGCAGATTGCATAAGTCACTCTATGGATTAAAACAGGAACCTAGGCAGTGGAACTTGAAACTAACTGAAGGTCTTATAGATATGGTATTTGCTCAAGGTCACAATGACTATTCATTGTTTACTCAGAAGATGAATTCAGAGTTAGTAGTCATTCTTGTCTATGTAGATGACATTCTAGTGATTGCAAGTAGTCTAAGACTGATCAAACAAGTCAGAAAGGATTTGCAGGAGAGGTTCAACATGAAAGATCTTGGTGAACTTAAATACTTTCTAGGGATTGAGTTCTCTAGATCTCAGGAAGGAATTGTTATGTGCCAAAGGAAGTATGCTCTAAAACTAGTTTATAAACTAGGCCTAGCAGGTGTAAAGTCAGCATCAACACCTCTGGAGTTGAATCACAAGCTGATATCCATTGAGTTTGATAAGCAAATACCAGATGTTAGAACTGCAGTTGATAAAGAACTTGAAGACAAGGGAGGCTATTAGAGACTAAATGGAAGGTTGCTGTACTTAACCATGATAAGGCCTAACAATGCCTTTGTGGTTCAAGTGCTCAGTCAGTATATGCATGCACCTAAGGTTTCTAACATGGAAGCTGCCCAAAGAGTGGTGAGGTACATAGAAAATGCTCCTGGACTTGGACTGCTTATGCCTGCAAAAACAAGAAAATCTCTATCTTCATACTGTGATTCTTATTGGGGGGCTTGTTTAGTGTCAAGGAGATTAGTGACAGGCTATGTAGTGAAATTTGGTGAAGCACTGATATCATGGAAGTCAAAAAACCAGGGAACTATGTCCAGGAGCTCTGCTGAAGCTGAATTTTGAAGTATGGCCTCTACTGTAGCAGAAGTGGTGTGGATAATAGGACTCTTTAAGGAGCTTTGGAACTGAACTGTTTCAGCCTGTACATTTGCATTATGAAAGCAAGGCTACTATATAAATTACAGCTCACCCTATTTTTTATGAACGAACCAAACACATTGACGTTGATTGTCATTTTGTGAGAGAAAAGCTCATTCAAGGTCTGATTAAAACTAAACATATCAGAACAACTGAGCAGCTAGCAGATCTGCTGACTAAGGGTCTAAGCAAGCCACATCATGAATATCTACTAGCCAAGCTAGGCATGAAAAATGTATTTCATCCCTCAACTTGAGGGGGAGTGTTGAGTATTGTAGGTCCCAACTATCTATTAGTTAGGAGTAATTAGTTATGACTACCAATAGTTAGTTAGTTGGTATTTATGTATAAATACAGTAGTTAGTTAATGGTACTGTACAATTATTCATTCTCATTCTTCGTCAGCTAATAACAGAGATTACATTTTCCCTCATTTCTTCTTCTTCTAGAATCTTCAAGTTCAGCCATAGCTCAAGCTCCTTAACATTTTGTTTTGCTAAATACAAGAATTTATTTCATGTTAAAATAATCAATTTTTAATTGAGTACTTAAATTATTCATCACTATTTGATTCAATTAACATAAATATATCTTGGTAAATGATAGATCTCAAAGAGTAATTGGTTTGATAGTGTTACACTGAAAATGTGGTCGCCGAAAAATGTGTTTGGTTGCTTATGTCTCATATTTAAAAATAAAATCAATAAATAACCGAAAAACCAAAAAACTGACAAAAACCGAATCGATTAAGAATCGACTTAATTGGTTTGGTTTGGTTCCAATATTTGAAGAACTGACTTACATGGTTTGTCATCTCTAAGGCAATCCCGATCCAAATAGAACCATGTAACACCCCTAATGGTAGGTCACCTACATATGATCATTTGTGTGTTTTGGTTGTTCTTGTGTTACGCTAATATTTGTGACTATTGCAAACATAAGTTAAGTCCACGCGTCACCCAATGTATTTCCCTTGGTTATCTATCTAATTATGATTTAACAGCCTTTTAAGGCGAATGTGTATAATTTATAAAGAAACCCCAATTAGGATTGGTAAATAATTAACTTTAATTAAAATGGGTACCTAAATTTATAATATGGATGTATAGGAAAATATCCCAACTATATAAGAGTTTTCGATGCTTTGATCCATTAAGTACCAAAAAATATATCTAATGACATGTTTACATCAATATATAATTATTTTTCTCTGAGAACTTCTTTTTACATCAATTTGTGTACATGCATGTGTAGTGTTGGGATAAAATGACCCAAAGATACTCTTAACACGGTGTGATATCGTTCTGCTTTGGGCCAAGCCATCACGAGTTGTTCCAAAAGGCCTCACACCATTAAGAGTATCCAACTCCTTATCAGTAGAATCTTTTTCCTTTCTAGTTTCCATGTGGGACTTTGTTCACACACACCCAACAATCTCCCCCTTGAACTAAGGTCCACATGACCCATCACCATTTATGTGCTAATTTGGAGATTAATTTTATGTCACCCACTTGATCTTGAGTATTTACGTTCAACGAAGCTCAAAGGCTATGTATGCGTCATCACAGCTACGGGTAAGGGTTGTAAACCCTATAGACGGGCAAAGGTACTAAGCCGGGCCCCAAGCCACACTCTACCATCTCCATACTTCCGCCATACCATTGGCTCTGATATCAATTGTCGGGATAAAAAAACCTAAAGATACTGTTGGTCTAAGTGAAGTTTGTTTTGCTAATTGATAAAGGCACACAAGCATTAACCAGTTCTATACACAGTGTACACAAACACGGGCAGTTTCGAATACAAGGCATGCACGTGAAGAAGATAAGCTTAAGTGATTACATCTGATATCTCCTGAACGAAAAGGTTGCATAGGTGATAAGGAGAAAGACTCCCTACTCGAAGTTAAATCTATCATAGATAAGGGAGAAGTTAGAAGTTGAAGAAAACTAAAACTCTTCCACCGTGGAAGAGTATAGCATTAGACTCTAGTTATTTCCTATTCTACTAACTCTATAAATTGCAGGATGTTCTTATTTTATAGGTACGCACAAACACTAAAGTTAAACGTGAGTTGAGAGAAAAATATCAAGGCATTTTGCAAGCAATTCTTGTGTGATTAAAGTGTGCGAACCTTATGCTACATGAACCAGATAGAAGAACCAATTCCAAGTGTTTTTCTTTTACTCTAGTTTCATTGTAGTAGGTGTTTCAAATTGTACCTTTCAACTTTATCTAGAAGCAATTGTACTAGGTACTCTGAGTGTTGTATTCAAGTTAGAGGTAACTTGAAGTTGTCGCAACAGCTAGAGGTTGGTTGCCACAAAGGGATTAGAGGTAATCCTTAGGTTTACAAAGAGTTTTGTAAATGTTGTTTTGGCTTAGTGATTTAGTGAAGTGTTGGGAAAATCCTACTGAGTAGTAGGTCGTGGTTTTTTAACCTTTTGAGCCGGGTGTTTTCCACATGAAAATACTTGTATTCTTTACTTTTCGCATTTACTATTCCGCAAGAGTAGTATAAGGAACACATAGAAGAACTGGGTCCTTCTATAATCTGTGCACGTGAAAATTAGATACCACACAAATCACCCTACCCCCCCCCCCCCCCCCGTGTGGTACTGAAGTATAAAATATCAATTGGTATCAAAGTGTGTTATCCTTGAAGATGCTAATACCTTAGGAGAAGATCAAGATGAGTGCACTATCTGGACACTTGAATGGACAAGCCACTTCTAGGCCACCACTCTTTAATGGCAGGTACTGCTTTTGGTGGAAGAAAAGAACGAGAGATCATATTCAAGGAGAGGACTATGAGCTACGGGACATTGTCACTGATGGTCCATTAGCTACATTAAGGAAGAAGGCTGAAGGAGTAGATGTGCCAAAGACAAGAGCGGATTGCATTGCTGAGGACATGAAAAAGTGGGAGAAGAAGGCTAAAGCCAAGAAATGGCTTATTTTTGGACTTGGTCCTGATGAGTACAGCAGAATCTAAGACTGTGCCACTGCTAAGCAAATTTGTGACACACTGCGGGTGGCTCAAGTAGGAACAACTCAGGTGAAGAGATCAAGAGGAACTCTATTGTACTCTCAGTACGGGAACTTTGCTATGAAGGATGGAGAATCCATTCAAGAGATGTACACTAGATTCACTACACTGACAAATGAGCTAAAGTCTCTTGGAAGGATTATTCCTGAAGAAGTAAGAGTTGAGAAGATACTTCCTAATGCTTTGCCTATCACTTGGGAGAGCAAGACCACTGCTATCCAGGAATCAAAGAATATTGCCACTCTCCCACTAGATGAATTGATTGTAAATCTTACTACCTATGTTAGGAGACAAACCATGATGATGGATGTCCCTAAGAAGGAAAAGAGCTTGGCACTCAGAATCACTGAAGGTTCTGATCTGGAAGATGATGAAATGGCTATGATTACCAAAGACTTCAAGAAGCACCCGAGGAGAGGAAAGGGTTCTTCAAAAAGTGGAAGCTACATCTAATTAAAAGCTTCCGAGAAGCAAACAAATGATGGCTGCTACAAGTGTGGAAAGACTGATCACCATATCAAGAACTGTCCTTTGTGGGAAATTTAATGGAAGAAGGAAAGAGCTGAAAAGGAACAAGAAGAATGAACAGGTTCAACATAAGAAAAGCAACAACAAAGGATCAACAAAAGCTATGGTCGCTGCTTGGGGAGAAAGATCAGATGAAAGATCAGATGATGATGATGAACCAGCACATATGGCCATTGGAGAATCTGATGATGAAACTGAGGTAAGTGTCTTTCATCTCAAAGACACGATTAATTTTTTGTCTAAAGAAATGTTTGCCTTGAAAATGGTAATTACAATTAGATTTGATTTTGTGGTTCTAAAAATACGTGATTTATTTTTATGCTAGTTGTTAGGCAGTAGATGCTAAGTGTAAGACTAGAAAATGAGGTAGGAGGTTGAAGACAGTACATTAGGCAAACCGCATGGCTAAGAATCGGGGCCTCGAGCTGGCTTATACGGGGCCTCGAGGTCGAGCCAGGCGTTGGGCTTTGAATAGTCGATGGAGAACTAACAGTTCTAAGGGCCTTGGTGAGGGCTCTTTATGATCAATAATGAGCAATACATGAAGAACAATTAATGAAACACAACAATAAATATAAGTAATAAGATCTAAGGAGAATATGTTTAAGTTAGACAACAGAGAATGTTCTTGTTCTTGTATTCAATGTTGTATGTTGTATATCTTTACAAAATGATAAGGGTTCCCTTTATATAGAGGGGAAATCCCAACATGGTACATGCGTAATTATTATAAAAAAATGTAGCTGGTATAGCTATTTACTAGCCTGGTGCAGACTAGTACTACTCTTGCAGGTATTGTCAGCTTTGGTGGCGTGTCGTGGGAACCTCCCGCTTGCCCAAGGTAACCACCGATTTATGCTGCCCCGAGGTCGAGCTAGGGAACCCTCGAACTTTGCCTCGGGCCCTCCAGGTGAAGCCACGGGATCTCGCAATGACCATAAATCGGGCTTTCCGATTTTAGCCGTATACAAGAAAGTTTATCTGAGTTGCTACTAGAGCTAATTAATAAATCTGAGGATGTAAATAATGAAAAGGAATAGCTGTCAAAGAATGTGTGGTCTTAAAAGCTAAGTGCAAAAATCTAGAACTTAGGGCTATTGAAACTAAAATTGAAAATGCAGTGTTGAAGAACCATGTTCATGAACTTGACACAACTGTCGTAGAACATAGATATGTAAATCTAAAACTGAAATTAGGAACAGGTAAGAAGATAACTGATCACACACAACTCACTCTAGAAGAAAATGTAGGAAAAATGAATAATGAGTTGTACAAAAGAGATGAGCATATAAGAATCCTAAAGGAGGATCTAAGCAAGGTCAAGCATGAGCTAGACAGAACTTGTAAA